TCCTAAGCTCCTGCGGCGTGAAGCTAGAAAAGTGCATAAGAAAAGTAATAACAGTAATAATAACAATAGTAGTACTAGTACTAGTAATAGTAATAGTAATAGTAATAATAATAGTGATAGTAATAATAATAGTAATAGTAATAGTGATAATAATAGTTATAGTAATATTAATAGTAATAGTAATAGTAATAATAATAGTTATAGTAATATTAATAGTATTAGTAATAATAATAGTTATAGTAATAATAATAGTTATAGTAATAATAATAGTTATAGTAAGAATAATAGTAATAGTTATAATAATAGTAATAGTAATATTTATAGTAATAGTAATAATAATAGTTATAGAAATAATAATAGTAATCCTGAAAGCCTTGAACCCTAACTCTTAACCCCAAACCCTAAAACGCACCCTTAAAGCCTCTGCAACTTTAGGCCCACGCCTTTCTCTCTGCTGCCGGAGATACCGGAGGCCACATGGACCTTTTGGCTGCTCTGCTGAATTTGGGGTTTAGGGCTTTGGGTGCTGAAGGTTTAGGGTAACTGAAGTTGAAGCTTAGAACTTTGCACGTGAGACTTTACCTCTGGGGTGTTCTCGGAACAGGTTTTCATTTAAGCGCCAGGAAAGATGCCGCGACCCCCTTTTAGTCCTCATTCAAGGGTCTGTTTCCGTTGATTTTGAGAAACTGCCATACGCCTAATCCAGGTGAGCAATTGCATGTTTCAGGAACACTCACCTTCTTGCGAGCTCCCCTGACAGAAGTGCTAGGGTTTAGCCTTTGTTTTCAATCGCAGAAATCCAGCCCTAAGCCCTAATCCCCTGAACCCTTATAGACCCTAGAACCCCAAAACCCGTAATCCCTCCCCCCACCACTTCCCACCCCTTGTCCTAAGCTCTTACGAGCCTTGGCCAATGCTTAGGAACGAGCTCTTCACCAGGCTTGATGCTGATGAGGACGGGGTGGTTGGATATATAGGGGTTATATAGGGGGTCAAGCTTCAGCAGAAATTGGTGTGAATACCTGCCAATGCAGCATGCCAACCCCGATCACTGGTTGGTTAAACCCAGCAACGTGCTGAGGCTAGCAGCTAGGTGAAAGGAGGAGTGCATCGATAATTTCTCCATGTCTTGCAGTCGCGAAGAATCCCGAGATAACAACATCTTTTTTCGTTTTCCAGCCATTCCGTGCCTTTAATTTGTGTGGTTCCTGAGGGCTGTGGTAGCAGAGCAGACTCCTTCATGAACAGCAATGTTCGCCGTAAACCACCATATCCGGAGGGCGAGCAGAATCTTTGGGCAGATCTGCGTTTCCAAGAACCCAGGCAACGCAGGATTGGAAACATGGAAACTGGGGAGTGTAAGGGAGTATCATAGGATCAATTCCTCTATGGCCAGCCTTATATACCTCAAGAGACTGTCATCCTCACTGTTTTTGGGGACTCCCAAAAGAGGTTAAGTTGAAGTTGCTGACAAGCTTAAACCTTGCCATGTAAAAACAGCCGAGGCTCTTGACCTAGTGTCGGTTAGTGGTGGAAATAGAGGAATAAGGGGTATGGGGAAACTCTGCGGCATGATGTTGCGACCAGAACCAGGATCTATGAATAAACCTACTGGCCACCAGTAGGTCGATCTAGAGTGCATGTTGCTGTCCTTCAACCCTATAGGCCCTTAAGTAGATTGAATATGGGGAATATGGAGACTTATTATAATATGCCCAAAGCTATATTCTATCTACTTACCGGGGACTAAGCAGCACTGTCTTGTACGCCATCCCTTTATGCCGTGGGACTGCCAGCTTGGTGGAGTTCCGTGCGTTTCCGGCGTCCTCAGGCTTCTGTGTGAACTTTCGTGCACGGTGACGAATGGGACCATGGGTTTTCCATTTACCCTAAACCCTGAACCCTGATGTAGAAATGCCACCCCCTCTAACAGGCTAGAGTTTTCTTGAAAGAGTTATATAAGGCCAGCTCAAAACATTATGACTGCAAGGCCTGCTGTACTTAAGTGGTGAGTTACCCAATTTCCCAATTAGTTTAAAAATTTTCCAACTGGCTCAACATTAGTCAAATTTCCTCTAGATCCTTGTAATCCTTAATTCAACGTGGGGTTCCTTCAGATTCATTTAATTCAAAATTCCAGCCTCTTAGGCACAGGGTCATTTAAGCTAAGTTCTGTCGCTTTTCATTCTTGCCAGACTTGCTCTTAAGTGTTTACTGAAGATGGAAAGCGACGCATTGAGCGCATTCCTGGCCCCAGAAAGCAAGCCTTTCAACACGCTATAGCAAAGCAACCTGATTCCAGCAAGCTTTCCAGTAAATCTTTCTATACCATACAAAAGGCAACAATCAACCTATGCACGAAAGGACATCTGTTATTTGTTTCATTGCTCCCCGATGACCTCAGCGCGACCCTAATTCATCATACTTTTCGTTGATTTGGCTAAGTGCTCTTGGCCTCTTCTTTTGTTATTGAGTATCTTTCCAGGCGCCTATGCGGGATTTAAGACCATGGTTTGAACATGTCGTGTTGGCTTACTGCTCTTGCTATCACTGGTTTCGTCCTTGACTGTCCGCCTACAGTTCGAATTTCTCAATATCAGGGCCCCCCTGCACCCCCAAAATCATATCGCCCTGGATGGATGGAGCCGCAACAAGGACTTTAACCCTTACACGTTACCTATAATATCCTATAATATATTGTACTATATTATACTATACCATAATATACTAGAATAGAATATAATATATCATGATTTATTATAGTATGTTGTAATATATTAGAATATCCCTTGATGACCCCCCACATAACCTGGGCCTCCTGAGCCAGGACGACCACATCCGAGAGCGTGATCTTCTTCGGGAAGGTTTGTTATCCCCGGAGGCGATTTTTGTTCGGGATGGGGTATGGCAGAATCTTGTAGTAAAACAAAGGCTTGCATAGAGGCTGTGTCGGTTTGCGGCAATCTTAGTTGCTGAAGCTAATTGGGTTGAGATTCCTTGGGAGGGATGGAAGAAGGGTGCGGTTATAAGGGTTACCTATAATATCCTATAATATACTATACTATATTATATTATACCATATTATGTTCCATTGTGACTACATGCTGGCCACTTGAGCCTAGTGCTTCCTAGTCATCATGGCAGGAGAAGCAGCACAGCAAGAGACGGTACGAGCCATCGCAATTGTGCTAGCCTAGCGACATTCCCAACATGTAATGCATTTCAATCAAGATGACCGCTCCGCTTGAGGAAGAGCGTCACAAAGCCCTGTTAGTCCTCTGGCCATGGTAGCCCTCCTCCTAAGCTGTACTGCCGATGCTAGGTTTTGAGCCTATTCCTGCCTCATGCCTCGTTGCAGCATGGCGTTCTCAAGACCCGCTTAGCGAATGCCGAGGATAGTTGGCGTGCCTTTTCAACTTTCAACTTTACTGGGTTGCTGTTAAGGAACTTAATTTTAGTTACTATATTATCCCCTGGAGAATCAAATGGAAAAAATGGAAAATGAACTGGAAACAGCAACCCATTTTATCGGAATGTTTTCAAAGCCTCCGTCCATAGTACTGGTGCTCCCTGTCTTCCTCATCGCTGAATACGCAGCAAGTGTCGAGGCCGGTTTGGGGTTAAGGGTTTCGGGTTTCCCTGACTGAAAGGCGGTTTAGGGTTTAGGGTAGAGGTGTTTTTCTCTCCCAGGACCTCATGTGAGCTACTGCCACTATTATTAGGTTTACCACGCAATCAGAAACAGTGTCACATTTGTAGTTTCTCTTATAAGGAACCCATATCGAGTAATTATGTGGAAAATATTGACAATAGCTCATATCAATAGTGCTCTAAACCCTATATATCCGTATAGACCCTCACATAATCCCAGTTTCAATTTCATGTCCAGCTCCTTTTCCTTGTAATTCTCCAATAAACGCTAAGACCCAAACCCTGTTACATTGCGCGAGGTGTGGAATTTCCATGGTGCAGACTATGTTGGTGACCGTCCTGCAGAGCCATTGGAGAAGGAGAAACCCTGAATCCTAAACCCTTAAACCTTCGTTGCTGTGCCTGCACTGCTGTGCGATGCGCGTGTCTAAACCTTGAACCCTTAAACCCTTAACCCTTAAGCCTAAACCCTTAACCCTAAACCCTGCGGAGCCATTAGAGAAGGAGGCAAATCAGAGTGGATGGCTCCTCGACAGGCCTATGGTTGGCACTTTGCTCGCCGTGGCTGTGGTGCCTTACTGGTTCTCAATAGGGAATTAGGTTTATGGTTTAGGATTTAGGGAATCAAGTATATAGGGATTAGATAAGGAATAAGAGAATACCGTAGATAGGGATTTGAATAGAGGTTGAATCCCCTTATTCCTTTCTAAACCTAAGCCCTAAAACCTAAACCGTCTTTAGGGATCATATTCCAACCCTCAAACCGAAACCTTTTTTAGGGGTTATATTCCCTAGAGCCAGTAGCCCAGACCCCCTACAGGATCCAAAACATGAAGCCCCCAAAATGATCAACACAACTACATTGGGGAAACGAGGGGACTGTTGAGAGGTTCCATTTTTGAACGCCCTAAGCCCTAAGCCACAAACCTTAAAACCCCATACTACATCGTTATGGGCTCCATTTTTGGAATCCCCAAACCTTAAACCCCAAGCCCTAAACCCTAAATCCCCAAACCCTAAACCCCCAAACCCTAAACCCTAACAGTCCCGGAAGGTGCTGGGAGCTCTGGGCCTCCTGCTACACCTGCCACGGTGGCGCGAGCTGATGTGCGCAGCCGACTTCGCCCTGTACGTCAGCTCCTGAGAGTCCTAGGGTTACTGGCTCCTCAGACCTCAGAAAGGATCCAAAATATAGAACCTCCCGATAATCCCTAGTTTTCCCAACGTAGTCATGGGGATCATTTGGAAGGGGGGGTGGGTCCATTCATTTAATCCTGCAGAGTGTTTGGTTCTTCGTCGGTAATAAGGGAATATATAATCCCTATATCATATAAAGCCTATATAGCACATGTTCCCTATTATAGGGATTCTATAGGGAGTATATTCCCTGATTCCCTACTAAGAACCAGTAGTCCTAGGCTTCGAAGCTTTTGCGCCACGTGATACGACGGTCCAAGGCTTGACCTGTTGCTGCACTGATACGATACGATGAAGGCTTGGCTTGTTCAGGTAACCGGAAACCCTGAGGAGATCATAGCGCATGATTCAAAGGTTGTCATAGCAGCAAGCATCCCGGCAGTAATTGTCAGGAATGCTTGGAGAGCGAACCCTGCACCGAACTTGCTATTAGGGTTTAGGGTTTAATTCCAATCTATTGCGCTTGTCGCTGTGGCACGACCAGCCTTGCAGCATTCTTCGCTGGAAAAACAATTCGGTCCGCCCAGCAAACCGTGAAATCAAGCTAACTTTGTGGACGATTTGTAGCTGAGTTGTCTTCTCACTGTTTTGCCCTCTGTAGCGTTCTGGGCTGGTCATCTAGCCCAAGTGCTGCACTCTAGTGCAGAAGGAAGCTGGCTGGTGCTGGGGTATCATTCTTGAGCAACCGAAATTAAGCGCCTGGGGCGTTTTTGCCACAGAGGGTCCAAAATGACTTTACATGGTTTTCTGCCGCATCTGTCTTGACAAGGCCAATTGTTAAAGGGTTAGGCATCACCAGAAAGAGTGCCCACAACCGTGAAGACTTGGGAAGACGTCTCTGTTATTTTCGGGGCTCAAAAGGTGGGATGAAGGTAGGTGGGTTAAAGGATCCTTAAGACATACTCTACTATATTGCGGCTTATTTTCTATACCCCACCTTCATCCCGCCTTTTGAGCCCTTTGCCTAAAGCCCTGGGTTTCTGCAACGCGCACATGCCGAGGCAAATCTGATGATATGTGTCCAGGGCTTCAACAACTACAGCTCTGTGTTGCCCTGGCGAATTCTTCAGAACACTTTCTATTGTGCACGAGTTTCCCAAGCTGGCACTGCTACCATTACCATTTGTACTACCATTGTGAGGTTAACCCTATGTAGTCCCCCTTAAGTAGATAGAATATGCTTTGGGTATATTCTAATAAGATCCCCATATAGCTCATATTCTGTCTAGTTAAGGGGGACTATAGGGATAACACTATTGCATGCGTTTCAACAACAAGGGTGCTCTGTGCGTTCCCCCTTTGCTCCGCGTTGGGTGTGGCCCATGCAGCCTCTATATCTGGGCTCTTTATTGGGATCTTCATGACGGCCAGTGCTGCTGGCACAGGTGTGGCCTGGAAGATCTTGAATACCTACCCAGATGTATGGCAGAATGACATCAAGACCTTCTTGGTGACTGGGCTCTCTTGTCAGCTGCTTGGCGCTGCTGGCTTGGCTGGAGTGGCTTGGAATGCGATGAAAGGTGAAGAAGAGATCGGGTGGGTGTACATCCTGATGGTCGCAAGAGTTCTCCAGGGCTTCGGTCATGGCCTAAACGACCAAGTCATGAAATGCTGCATCGTGAAGCTGGCTCCTGTCAGTGCCCGACCGCGTCATTCTTTGAATAAGTTCGTGGCCAACACAGTGGGGATTGGTTGTGGTCCTCTTCTGGTCGCAGCTGCTTGTTTCGTCTTCCAGGATCACGATGGCAATGGACCACAAACAAGCATGATCACTGCCCAGCTGCAGTTCTGGACGACTGCTACAGTCCTGGCAGCCACTGCGCTGGTCTATCCTTCCATGAAGGCTCTTCCGTTTTTCGCCAGAGTAGGAAAGTTAGGCTTTTGGATTACTGAACTACCATGCATGCTTTCATCTTGACGTCCACGCCTCATGCTCTCTGCACCCCTCACCGCTATCGCCTTTGAGATTGGTTGTCACCAGGATGTTGCTGCAAACTATGGCAAAGCAAGCGCTCCAGCAGGAAGGGATCAACCAGTGGTACTCATCACCAGCACCTTGGTTTTTGCAACCCACGATTTAGTGCACAGGGGGCTTAGGGTTTAGTGTACAGGTAGCGACCAAGTTTTCATATTCTCCTAACCTAGTAATCCTAAACCCTAAAATATATCCCAAAAATAGTAGTTTCCATTTTCTTTCCATTATCCCGCTATAACCTCAATATACTATAGTAGTTTCCATGTTTTTTCTATCATCCTTATATAACCCCAATATACTATAGTAGTTTCCAACTTCTTTTCC